AGGATCCCCAAATCAGATAGCCCAAAGAACGAAGTCCAATCGAACGAATCAAGGTGAAGGCCCAAATAAAGGGCCCAAGGGTGCGGTAACGCCATCGCCCAAGTTTGCAAGTCACCCAGAATCTGAACGAATGGAGCGTCACACGGTCGCCCAGAGCTGTTATTCTATTCTCGCCCAAACCTTCAAGTCGCCCAAGGTATCAACAAACATAACGCATTGTGGTTATCAAGAAATGCAGTTATCAAGGCAGTTGTTAAAATAGTCCTATCACGTTCTACAACTCAAGGAATTCAATCGAAGGCAGTTGAACGATGAAAGATAATGGCAGCAGTTAAAAGGCAGTTTTATGACAAAATGGTCACTACAAAGAAAGTGGGTAGTTATAGGATGATCAAGCAGTTTTCAGAGTAGTTAATCACAAAGAGATCGTCTATAAGGTATAAAAGGGAGAAAGGACGTAGAAGCAAAGGACCGAATCCAAAACTCTCGAACAGAGAATATGTAACTTTCATTTCCTTAGCTTTTAGACTTAAACACTTTTCTTTCTATAACTCGTGTGCTTGCGCCCCTTGGAGGCACGTTGTTTTTCGTTTCCAATTGTAAAGTTCATCGCCAATAAAAGAACACCCATTTTTGGGACTTTGTCTCAAGAGGTTTCGTCCCTTACACAATCGTCTGATCCCTTTTAATTGTTAGCGAATTAACCCGCGCGAAACAATCTTACTATCTGAACTTTGTCGCGTCATCCCAGACGGAATTTTTTAATCTTTGAACAAAACTATGAGGTTTGAATGCTCTTTGAGTTCTTTGTCTGTTGACTTTGAAATCAAGTTAATTGAAAGTCGATAGATAAGTTACACAATTTTTCGTGTGTTATGTTCAGTATACCTAAGAACAAATTTTTTTCACATGTTTATGTGTCTATTTGAGTGCTTAATGATGTTAGAAAATTTTGAAATTTTACTATGTTATACTTGAAGGAATTTAGAAAATATTATAAAAATATCATAGAATTATGAGTTTAATAAATTGTCTAACTAAGCTTGATCGTCAAATAGCGCGTTTTTGAATATACCTCTGTTAATGTATGCTAACAGTATTATAATCTCCCTTTTAGTTTCGTTATTTAACAAAAAAAGTTATATACCTTAAATCATTTGTTTCCAATAATTTTTGGAATCGTAATGGAATGTAAGGATAAACTACAAAATAAAAAAGAAATAAGAAAAATTTTAATTTAACCTGAATTTTTAGAAGAAAAGAATTGTGGCCTACTGTGTGCTTCGGTAGAAAAGCCTAAAGTAGTTCTTATTAACTGACCACGCATGGTAATCATTTTCTGGCCTTTGGAACCAACACCAATGGATGTTCCATCTGCATAATTACACCAAATTTCTCACTCATGTTTAGCTCTTTTGGATTAATTCCATGTGGGAGAGACCAGTCGAAAAAATAGATCAAAGAGGCAAGAATCAATGGAATAGTCTTTGCAGCCATGGGAAGGCCGGGGCAGATCCTCCTTCCTGCGCTAAATGGTAAGAATTCAAAGTCGTTTCCTTTAAAATCCAAACTTGAGGTAAGAAATCTCTCTGGTCTGAACTCAAGTGGCTTGTCCCATGCAGATGGATCGCGCCCAATAGCCCAAGCATTTACGACTATTTGAGCATTTTTGGGTACTGTGTAATTCATTACTTGGCCGGTCTCAATAGCCCTGTGAGGAAGCAGCAAAGGTGCAGGAGGATGCAGCCTCAGTGTTTCTTTAGTACACGCTTCAAGATAAGGTAGTTGCATCAAATGGGAATTATTTGGGAAATCTTCGTTGATTTCAGTGTCAATCTCACGATGGACATTCTTCATGGCTTCAGGATTTTTCAATAGTTCTGCCATTGTCCATTCAATGGTCGAGGTAGTTGTGCCTGTGCCAGCAACGAATAACTCCTGTCACATAGTAAGTGGAAGTTGTGTTAGAACTGTCCTTATGGTGACAAAAAACTTCACACGTTTGATATATAATATTTAATCGAAATAAACC